GTTGAAAGATGGCACATGGGAACACAAAGTGAGTCCGCTTTACCCGTCATAAGTTTGTCCGTTATATCCATGAATTGTACATGAATAAATATCCGGCACACGACCGAAACAGAACAAAGTTCGTTAAATCTGTCAGTTTGTTATGAGCATGTTCGTCATTAACGTAGTTTACTGTATTACTGTTTTTGGATACCTTTGAATGTTATTTTACATACAAACGTAATTTGAGGCTGTCCGCCCAGGAAAGCCACATTTCAAAAAATCATTTTGCCTGTAAAGCCACATTTCATTTTGAAGGGGAATTGCCTGCAAAGCCACATTTTCAATACGCAAACCAAGTAGAGAGTTACCGACTAGTTAAAAAACGCCCCTGATATATAGGTCGGTTTAAGAAGATCTCAAATGATGTTTCACCATGGACCTGTGGAACCACTCTGGGAATGATGGCCATCGGACTAATAACAACCTTGAGGGTTGGCATCACAAGAGCAACCAGTTAGCCCGAAAGTGCCACCCCAACATTTTTTGAGATTGTCAAACTGTTCAAACGCGAACCATCAGTTATGGAAGTTGAAGTCATGAGCCGTTTCAAGACGCAAGAAATATAGAAATATTGTCAGACGACTAAGGTCGCTGAAGACGCAGTTGGCAAATCAACATTTGACTGATGAAGAGTATGCAGACCACAAGCATACACATAGTATAGCCTTGTATAGTTCATTCTAAATGGAGCGGGTCGGCGACGTGGTCACAGGCTCTCGTGTTTTTGCGAGGATTAATGATTAAAAATATATTGTTTTGAGATGATTCTGACTCGAAATGCTTCACAGTACAATACATCATATAGTGTGAAGCATTTCGAGTCGGGAGTCATCTCAAATTTTGGTATATATTTGATAAAATCTTTAATCCTCGCAAAGACACCAGGGCCTGTGACCACGTCGCCGACCCGCTCCATTTAGAATGAACTATACCAGGCCATACTATGTGTATGCTTGTGATTGATGCTGAGAATTAATTATGAGAATTGATGATGGTGTGAATTAAATACGAGTTATGTGAGTGTTACTATACTATGTTTGTTATGATTGTGAAACCTCCAGTGAATAAAACTGAAAATAAATGATCTATATCTTTGCTGTTCTATGTTAAATACGGTACCCTATTACGGGGCTTAGAATGTTGTGATAGCATTGCCGCCAAAGCCACATTCCCCCGTTGTTCATCCGTGTCCTTTGCCGGGAACGCCACACGAGGTTCAGCCTGTTTTTTTTCTCAAATGGGGCTTTGCCGGGCTGTCCGTGCAGCCTTTAGAAGTACGCATTTCCCCCTGCAGCCAATAAGCCGGTATCCTTTCATAACCTGTGTAGGATTAACGCCAAAGCTGTTTGCATTACAATTCAGTAATATCAGGACTTATAGAAGTGCAAGAAAGATCGCGTTTCTCAAATTTGATAATACCATGTGCACTTCACAGCTCACCCACACGTAATACATCCTCGCCAGTATGACAAGAATAAGCTCCCCATATGCTGCAGATCTCATACCTGGGAACAACATTTGTAATCTGAATGTTGTATCCCAAAGCGTTGCTGGCGCTATATCGGGGAGTACGTGCGCGATCGGTGAGCACAAGTAGTTTCATCGGCAGGGCGGATGCCCAGTCACTGTCGTGAGAAGTTGTATTGACAATTGAAAACCGGAAGTTAAGTTATTTAAAAAGCAAACAAACATCAATATTATTTACCCGAGATCGTTAATACCACTTCAGATGCAACATCAATTGCCTTTATAACAAAAAATAGCAAGCGAAAATTCAGTAAGATCATTCGTCTGCTGGTGACAGGCAATATTTAAATAGAAAGCCACGTTATCACAACACTCCCTCGCAGTGCGGAGCGAAAAGTATGGCTCATCGTCGAAAACCCATACAAAATCCACGGATGTGGCGAACAGCAACAGTTTCGCCGATACGATGTCATCAGCCTTATTTTTGTAGGAAACACTTGATATTTTTGAAATAGATGAATATATCCTTTATCACCCAAAGTTAGTAAGATTAAAACTTCAAATGATATTACAGATAAAAATTACGTTTTTGTCTTACATCGTCGAAAACCCCTGATACCGGGATACTGACTAACATTATGAAAGCCGACATAATGAAGAGATACATTGTGTTTGGGTCTTTTGATTTCGTGAATGTAATAAACAGTCATCAACCCAACTGCGTAAATATATTTGATTCATTGAAATGTATGTGTAAAACCATATACGACCAATTTTCAACAGATTCATAAAAATCTCTTTGTACCTGATCATGTTGATGATTCGTTTGTATATATCTCAAGTACCTCATAATTGTCTTTATAACAGTGTTATTCACAAACTGACTTCACTCAGATTGATAAGTGTACGACCTTTCCATCAAAGGAGTTACTGTATGGCCCGCCTCTGCTGCACTGAACTAATAGTAACAATAATACTTACAGTCAAGGTAACGTCTCCCCCGACACTCAATACATGCAAGTCTATTTCTGTCAATCAATAACTCTAATGGTCTTGTTTGTCACAAATTTACACATACCCCAGTATCTTGTCACAACAGGCTGAACCCTTATCCTCCCCCTGGTGTTGTATGTTTGTCTGCGCGTCACTGTTCAGGATTGCCACACACCAATCCAATGTTGTCAGTGAGTGTGAGTGCATTGCTACAGACACTTTAAACTTCACATGGAAGACTGACTGACTGAGTATGGTTTTACGCCGCTTTTAGCAATATTCCAGCAACATCACGGCGGGGGACACCAGAAATGGGCTTCACACATTGTACCCATGTGGGGATTCGAACCCGGGTCTTCGGCGTGACGTCACATGGAAGAAAGCACGCCAGGGGATATGCAATGATAACACAATGTAACCAACCACACACACACGCTCGCGCGCACGCACACACACACACACTAAGGTGTTTTTTTGGATAGTACGATCCTCGTTTTAGGTTACTGTAGAGTAGGGTCCACGTGCAACGTTTCAGTTATTTGGAGAACATGAGCCACGTGCAATGTTTCAGGTGTTCGCCGAGTATGATCCATGTGCAATTTTCGGGTTTACGGAAAATATGAGCCACGTGCAATATTTCCGGTGTTTGGAGTGTGAGATACACGTGTTATGTTTCGGGTTTCGGAGAGTATGATCCACGTGCGATGTTTCAGGTGTTTGCAGAGTATGATCTACGTGCATTGTTTAAGGCGTTCGGAGAGTATGATCCACGTGCGATGTTTCAGATGTTTGGAGTGTATGATCCACGTGCAGTGTTTCAGGTTTCGGAGAGTATGAGCCACGTGCAGTGTTTCAGAGAGTATGATCCACGTGCGATGTTTCGGATGTTTGGAGTGTATGAGCCACGTGCAGTGTTTCGGGTTTCGGAGAGTATGAGCCACGTGCAGTGTTTCAGAGAGTATGAGCCACGTGCAGTGTTACGGGTTTTTGGAGAGTGAGATTCACGTGCAATATTTCAGGTGTTTGGAGAGTAAGATCCACATGCACTGTTTCGTGTTTCGGAGAGTATGGGTCACGTGCAATGTTTCAGGTGTTCGCCGAGTATGATCCACATGCAATTTTCGGGTTTTCGGAGAATATGATCTGCGTGCAATGTTTGGGGTGTTTAGACAGTATGGTATTCCAGAACCTGTCAGGTGAGCTACAACAACGCACAAAAAATATGGGCGAATCAGCATTATCAGTGGTTCGAGTTGCTAAGAGAGCTAACCCAAGATACAGACTGGAGGTATGCTGATTAGTTTCGTATCCAGAAAAGCATGACGCTGAGAAAACGATAAACTGCGTCCTCCAAGAGTCAAATCATTACTATAACTATATAATCTAGCGAGTCATTTCCATCTATATGACTAGCAACATGTTCCTTTACGATTGTTAGACGTGTTTGTCAATATTACTGATTTTTGTGGATCACTTTATAGCTGGTTGTTAGAGGGTGTCGGATGTGGGCCTACTCTAGTCGAATATTATTGAATCCAAGAGCATCATCAGATGTTGAAGTAACCAATATTTGCGACAGGAAAGGTGGGTAATTTCATTATCCTTTAAAAAGCATATAAAGCGCTTTCTACATACGATATCAGCAACCAAACTGTAGATATCAAAGTGAAACAGAAATGTGGGCCCACATCTTTTTCTCTGTAGATACTTTTGTGAGTGGGCCCACATTTTTATAATATGAGTAAAACTACAAATCTTGAATTTAAAAACATATGCTGACGGTGGTTATGCAAAAGAACGAAAAACGGCCTCACCAACAAACATGCAGGCATCAAAGTAATTTCTAAAATTAGACTGAGGAAATATACTCTTCCTACTTTCCAGAATTACATACGTCCTTTCTTACGCAAAATGATCAACAATGTGTACAGTCATGCATGGTGCAAATACAGTCAAACACCATTGTGTCGAAGATTGCTTCGAGTTATCCGAGCTTCGACAAAACTGCAAAATGATAACTAAAACATTAAACAAGCAGGGGCAAAGCTTGTATTTTGAGACAAGTACATTAAAGATCTACACACTGGCGATTGACTGTACACCTGTAAATGTTTCGAGTTATACGAAGTTCGATACAGCCGTAAATTATGACTAAAGAAGGATTAAGCAGATATCAAACTTTTACTTCGAGACAACCGGAAATTCGACTCATTAAAGATCTTCACATTGGTGTTTGAGGGGATTTCAAAAGTCTGGTATACAACATACATTCAGACTGTCATGCTCTCTTGAACTTTCAGTTCAGGCGAGCTACAGTGTCTTGTCCCACAGAGTCTTGTCCTATCGAAAACATACTGCTCGGGCTAACTTGAAACGGAAAGCGAATTTTTGGTTTTAAAATAAGTATAATTATACTCATATAACGTTGTATGTATCTCGTTAATCTACAATGGATCTTTCAAGCTATATTCATACCAAATATGACAGAAACAAAAAAATGCGCCATACTGTTTAATACTGCGAGTTGATATTAAAAACGGCATTTGACTTCATGGTGGGTCTTGATGAAACACTATGTTCAACTACAGGCTCTCTGGATCGCAGATGTATACTTTGAACTGAAACATAAAAGCAAGATGCACTACTTGGCGTGTGGTCATGTGCATAGAGCTCAGGTCACAAATCAGTTAAAATTAAACAACGTTGAGCTCGGACAGTCCTTGAATAGGTGACTGTGTTTGGCAGCTTGACTCCTGAGAGTTTCTAGGACTTGTGTCCTGCCCCACAACGAAGCACATGTGGATCATGTGGTCCCACCTTAGGCAAGCGAGTTTGTTCAAAACTGCCTCTGTTCACCCAGTAGAAAGTGGGTACCCGGTGGGACAAGTCATGTGACTAATAACCTTCTAGCGCCTAACAGGCAGCTTGGCTATCCGGTGTAATAATGTGTTAGCGCTTTGAGCATGTACAATTTGTGGAAAAGGCGCGTTATAGATGGCCATTATTATTATTAATTAATGTTCGTCCTCGTTTGTTTGGTTTATCAGATAGTGTCACTTTGTATTTTCTCACATAATACACGGTCGATCTAAGTGATCTGTTAAGAAGCGTTAATTCTAAAACGTCAGCTCACGCCAATAACATCGATTTATGTTTCGGCTAAGCAAATAAAAGCTAAATATCATATATTAAATCATACACCTGACGAGATCATTACAAATGTATAATTAGGAACAGGTAAACGACATACTTCTTCCAGGACGCCATGGAAGAAGTCCATGCCATCACCGTACCCGACCTGCAGTGCACACTGGCTTTTCCCGATGTTACCTGCAAAATATTCAAGAAATTATTAATGACACCTATATTTTTCTATGTAATCGATGTTTTTCACGAACAAACAGATATTGATCCTAGACCTAACTGACAACGGTTAGATTAAGAATGGGCACTTCACGGAAAGAATCACCTCATTCGGATGTTTGATTTCGTACAAAACAAAAGTAATGCTTCACATGAGTATCTTTTCACATGTGAGCGCCTATTATGTTGTATATTTCTTGGTGAGTTGGTTATACCACGTGAGTACTGCACAATGTTCAATTGTCAGGATCGCTATATGGCTGTAATATTGCCGATGTGATGTACAATTTTAACTCACTTACTCAGTTGTCAGGAATGTTAATATCAGTAAACATATTGTAAACACCGCAGCAGTTAACAATGGTGATCAGGGGTCCCATGTTTACATCACGAGCACATGTTAGTAGCAAGAGGTTCAACGATGTGCCTCATACTATGTTAGAGAGTATTTTGATAAAGGGATTATCCTGAAGGACGATCCACTCCAAATGCTTGTACCATCAAATGTCCTCTGTAATCTGCGGTTGTTGACTTCAACCTTCATCAGTCCATCCTTGACGATCAGCTTCACCTCATTCAAGGACGTGGTGGCCTGAAACGTACCCCCCACAAAGGATAAGGATAAGGGCAAGGGTGACAGAGACAAGAAAAACACCCAGCTACCAAGACGACGGCTTCAGTATGAAAACACAATTCGAAACGGATAATATCAATTCGTAACTACCCATTGGCTATATCGATGGTCCAATTTGTTTACGGGGTTCACAGTGTCTAACGACTTTCAATGAGATATATAGGCAGGAGTAGCCACTCAGCTACATTCCAGCTTCTCAGGTGACATTGGACATGCACCAATGTTGCAGTAAGGCCAGGAAACTAGAAGTGTGCTTCACAGGTGACCCTTGACAAATCGAATTCGGACTGAGACGCCATGGGCAACTTAAACCCCAGCCCAACCTAGGTACCCCCATCCCTCACAACAACCCAAGATACGCTAGCAACAACCACAAACAAATGCGCAGGATGCCAGGCTATAGACCTTGGCCAAATAATCACAACATTAGGGCAGGGTGCAGGTATCATTCCTTCATGAGCACGATATGATGGAGTGTATGAAAAACGTTTTTAATACTCACTGTGTACGATACATTTAAAGTATGCGTAACGTTGTTGCTATTGACAACACGAAACTGCACGGTTGACCGCTGAGTGGTGATGTAGATGCTGCCGCCATGCCCGCAGTCATCGTTGGTGACGATAGCCTGAGCTCTGCTTGTAGCCTGAGTGCGTTTGAACGAAAATGAGATGATCAGAGTCTTCCCGAAATGCATGTTGGAGAACCGCAGGATCCGGAGTTGGGTGTTGTTGCTGAAGACGCCATGGCCACTGTTGGTAGTTACAACGCCAGTGTTTTGTACATAGTGGTGGTTAGTCGAATGGTCGTTCACGTCACTGTTGAAAGGAAGGTAAACCTCCGCCTGGCAAACTAAAATGAAATTCATTTCAGACAAAACTTCCATAACTTGATCATCGTGTATCATCTTTCGTTAACATAATTACAGTTGTGAGGATATCACGTTAAAGGCATAATGTCACACCACAAAAATAACTATGCATTTCTCTCAATAATACTAACTATCAACCCTCAGGGAAGCTTCCGTATAATTTATTTATAAAAATACGTATTTATATTACAATATTAAATTTTAAAGTTCGAATGAATTAACGAAACGTTGCATTAAATCGAATCTCGTTCCATGTATCGGCTGAACATTATTTCAAGCGAACCACACAGAGTTATGTCCCTTGGAGCGCTTATCACGAATATCCTACGCACAACTTGTGACTGAAACCAGATCTGCAATATCGACAACAACGCGTGCGACAGTTTTCGATGTGAGGAGCAATTGTTTACATTCCATGGCAAGTATTGTTTGTTTGGAAGCTGTCAGCCTCGAGGTTTCAATTATCGATTTCAGGCAAGTCGTAAGGGATAATAAGTCTTTCATTGCACCAACATGAAGCTAAGTTGAGTGCATATATCCCAATATATATATATATATAATATAGGCCAAAGTTTTGCCGGAAATGTGTGAAATTGTGCCTTTAAGTAAATTATGTATTTACTGTAAGACTTGCAGCACCATGTTTGTCTATGTGTAGGAAAGTAGCAAATGACCCCAATGAGAAGCGATGCAGACATACCTGGGGACGCGTCATTCTGACCGGTGATGCAGCTACAACTGGTCGTAGAGTACACAGTTCCTGGAGCACAGAATCTGGTGATCCAGTTTCCATGTATCAGTTCCTGATACTGAGCTGTATTTCCTGGCTTTGCCTTCTTGGAGCCGTCGCACAACGACGAAGGAAGGGATGTCAGCGGAGCAGCTGTTGATGGTGCTGCAGTCGATGGAAGAAATGCTTCCTCTGTGAAGGAAAGAAATACTTCTTTGGTTTGCGAAACAAAAAGCCTTTGTACATGTCCAATATTATGGCCCACGCAATTCCTTACTTTGAACCATATACCCCAGTGTTGTGTCAAGTGAACAATTGACTTGCTGTTTGTGACGGTGTTTGATTGGCATTTTAGAAGATGCTATTTGATGAACATAGAGACTTTTCTGGGTTTCACCTTCATTTTATTGTTTGGTACAACGTTTCAGGGCTTGTTCTGGCCCCATCATCCGGTAGAACTAAAGTACGATTACTGTACTTTACAGTTACCAACTTCCCAGGTCCTAAACTTTAACCCATGGTAATGTCGAATGAACAACTCATAAGAAATCATATGATATATATTATATTACTAATGTTCTTGTATTTGGTACTTATGATCCTAACAGACACTGAGGTACTTGAAGAAACATATTGAGTCGGCGTACCTTGTTATACTATGGGGTGGTGGGGTAACCTAGTGGTTACAAATTCGCTTGTCACGCCGAAGACACGGGTTCGATTCCTCACATGGGTAGAATGTGTGAAGCCCATTTCTGGTGTCCCCAACCGTGATATTGCTGGAATACTGCTAAAAGCGGCGTAAAACCAAACTCACTTACTCACTGTTATACTAAGAGGGTAGAGAGCAACCCCCTACCTTCAGCTTCCACTGTGCAGATGACGTTGGCTGGCCAATCACACACCAGATGCTGTTGGTTCCAGTACAGTCCAGGACTACACTGCATTCTATAGAAAATAGCAGTATTGCCGGGTCTGGGTTCTTGGCACTGAATGAACCGGGAGCAGTCGCTGGGGTCAGGGATGTACCCAATACCGTTGACATACCGGCAACCACTGCATGGATCTAAAACAATACAAATAATGTTTTTACTTCTGTTGGGATGAACAACAGGGCACCAGGTACTGATCGGAACGCCCCCACCCAAGTCGTGGACGCAAAGTGATGGTATCACGTTAATCTGTAATTCACAAACAATTTTGCCTCCATAACAGAACGAGTCTGAAATAAGTGACATTTTAGTCTATGCATTTATGTCTAGGCCTCCAAGGTGGGAATAGACTAAGATTTTACCATTGCATCCTTCTGTGTTGCAGGTTTCTGCGTATGTGTCTGTGGAGGAGCCTACACAGTCAGCACCGCCGTCTCTTGGAGCAGGACTGGTGCAGGTTCTAGTTTTAGTAACAGTTCTAGATCCACCTCCACAAGATGCTGAACACTCGCTTGTGGTAATGATCCAGTTTGACCAGCCCCTATCAGCTAGAAATAATCGATGATAAGCGAACTGCCAACAGCAAATGTTTTAGATATACGACTATGCCATACCTGCGCAGCCATTGGTGTTGCAAACCTCTGTGTATCGATCTGAAGGTGATCCTACACAGTCCCGTCCGCCGTTGCTGGGTGCTGGGTTGGTGCAGGTCCTGGTTCTGCTGATGGTTCTAGAGCCTCCTCCACAGGATACAGAACACACACCGGTAGTGTCCGTCCACTCGGTCCAGTTTCCGTCAACTGTTGTCATAAGAACAGATGATACAGATATCAAGGTAGCATAAACACAAATATGTTCAAATCCATATATACATTTAGAAAAAGATGTTTGACATTTTAATCCACTAGTCCAGATTGATCACTATATGTTTATATCCCAAAGAGTACAAAAGTTGAAGGTTTAATTTAGTTTCAGCCATGGTCTCTATCAATTCCCATAGCTCTTTTCTGAAAAAAATATACTTTTCGTTTTTTTCACTAGCTTCTTTTTTGAAATTTGAAAAAGGCAAATGTACATTTCTAATTAAAGAGTAAGCTCAATATCAGATTGACATGGTTCAACACAAAACGTCAACGCCAAAGACTATCAATCTCGATTCTTTGCTGGAACTGGTGACATTTATATGAGTGAATCGATGAAATGCAGAAATGTCCTGAAGGCTGACTCTCATAATTGATAGAGGGAAGGATATTTAAAAATCAGTACGTAAAGTATTATTTCTAATAACCGATATACAAGATATGACGTATGTAAAGGCAGGCGAAAGATTAAGGGTGGAAATGAAGGCAAACCTAAATTTAGATTGACACAAAAGTTCATCATCTTTGGTTTAATTTAGATATACAAAATGTTTGATGAATGTTTGGCTTCGATTTTCAAATCTACGGAAGTTAATTGCTACGATAACTTGCTTACTTATAGAGCGACACCTATTTGAGTATTTATAAAGAAGTGTCAACTTTAGTACCGTGAGATTACCAGTTCTAACTAAAGATGTGTGGCTATAAGGACATTTTTTAGACATCGTGTTTCATCTTCTCGAGAGGGCAGACAATTGCCATGTCTCATGACCGCAACATAGATATTGGAACATTTTGCATTACGTTTATTGAAAATATATAGAAAATAATGCAATACTGTTCACTTGAAACATGGACAGTATCCTCTTATGTTTTATTCTCTCCCCTATGTTTTATTACCTCCCTTATGTTTTACTCCCACTTCCATTTTTCATAATGTCCCTAGTGTTTTATGATCTTCCTTCGTTTTATTCACTCCCTTTTGTTTTAATTCTTTTATTTATGTGTCTAAACTCCCGATCCAGTATATCGCGCCTCACGACAGCATGGATTGTTCAAGACCAATTCTAACCCAGATCTTCACGGGTTCCAGGCAACAAGACAGCGGCATGTAAATAATCAATATTTTTAAAAAAAACTTGAACGACATTTAGAAGTGGTCAGGAGAGAATATCATCAGATGATGACGGAGTAGATATATACACTTAATAAATACTTTTACATATTTCTACTTTACATTGTATTCCCTCCCTTATGTTTTATTCCCTCCCTTATGTTTTATTCTCTCCCTTATGTTTTATTCCCTCCCTTATGTTATATTCCTCCCTTATGTTTTATTCTCTCCCTTTTGTTTTATTCTCTCTCTTATGTTTCATTCCTCCCTTACGTTTTATTTATTTCCCTTATGTTTTATTCCCTTCCTTATGTTTTATTCTCTCCCTTATGTTTCATCCCTCCCTTATGTTTCATTCCTCCCTTATGTTTTATTCCCTCCCTTATGTTTTATTCCCTCCCTTATGTTTTATTCCCTCCCTTATGCTTTATTCCCTCCCTTATGTATTATTCTCTCCCTTATGTTTTATTCCCTCTTATATTTCATTCCTCCCTTATGTTTTATTCCCTCCCTTATGTTTCATCCCTCCCTTATGTTTCATTCCTCCCTTATGTTTTATTCCCTCCCTTATGTTTTAGTCCCTCCCTTATGCTTTATTCCCTCCCTTATGTTTTATTCCCTCCCTTATGTATTATTCTCTCCCTTATGTTTTATTCTCTCTCTTATATTTCATTCCTCCCTTATGTTTTATTCCCTCCCTTATGTTTCATTCCTCCTTTACGTTTCATTCCTCCCTTATGTTTTATTCCCTCCCTTATGTTTCATTCCTCCTTTACGTTTTATTCTCTCTCTTATGTTTCATTCCTTCCTTACGTTTTATTTATTTCCCTTATGTTTCATTCCTCCCTTATGTTTTATTCTCTCTCTTATGTTTCATTCCTCCCTTATGTTTTATTTATTTCCCTTATGTTTTATTATCTCCCTTATGTTTTATTCTCCCTTTTATGTTTTATTCCTCCCTTATGTTTTATTCCCTCCCTTATGTTTTATTCTCTCTCTTGTGTTTCATTCCTCCTTTATGTTTTATTTATTTCCCTTATGTTTTATTCCCTCCCTTACGTTTTATTCTCTCTCTTGTGTTTCATTCCTCCCTTATGTTTTATTCCCTCCCTTATGTTTTATTCTCTCTCTTGTGTTTCATTCCTCCCTTATGCTTTATTTATTTCCCTTATGTTTTATTCCCTCCCTTATGTTTTATTCTCTCTTATGTTTCATTCCTCCCTTACGTTTTATTTATTTCCCTTATGTTTTATTCCATCCCTTATGTTTTATTCTCTCTCTTATGTTTCATTCCTCCTCCTTATGTTTTATT